GCCCAGCGGTGCGGGGCCGCGCCGCCGTGCACGCGGGCCGGCTGCCGGCGGCATCGGGATCGTTGGGGGCGGCAGCACGCCGCGGTAGTTCAAGAAACATCAGATTAGGCCAGGCCGTTTTGCCAGAGTCGCGGGGCGTGGGCGGTCGACGGCCATGAATCGCTATGCCGGTGACGAAACTAGGCGCGCGGTGAAATTCACACGCGCGCACTCATGAGGGCACACGCAAGCGCCCGCCCGCCTTCCGGTGGGCCGGCGTGCGGCGGCCGTGGCGCATCCTGCGGCGCTGGGGCGGGGGGCTCGCGGGCGCGGTCGCACCGCCTCAGCCTGGGCCGTGGGTGCCGGCGATGCACGAAGCGTGCGTTTGTTGGGAGTTGGGTGAGAAGCAAGCCATGTTTCAGACAGGGCAAAGTGCGCACGCGCGCGCGCACACGTGCCCCAGAAAAATGCTATGCCTGTGCGATTCACGGCCGGCGAGAGGCAGGGCGAGCGGCGCAACGGGGGTCGAGCGCACGCGCCGTCCAAAGCGGTGCGTCGGGCACCCACGCCGCCACGCGTGCCCTGCGCCGTCCTCGCCCCTCCGGCGCTTCGAAACATGCACAGCCGTGGCAAAGGCGCGCACCCCGAGCGCCGCCACGGGGGCCGTGCGGCCTCCTGGGGCGCTCGCCAGTGAGCGCGCCCGCCGTGCGCCGCCGGCCGCCCCCGTTGCCGCCGCAGGCCGCCTACAAGGGCGAGAACCCAAACTCCTCAACTTCGGCCGTCGCCTCCGCCTCGATCGCCGCCTCAATCGCGCTCTTCCGCAGCCCCTTCCGCCCCCTGCCCGCGCCATCGCCGACGGCGCCACTCTTGAAAGCGTCCTGGTCCGGCCCGACCCTCGCGCCGCCGTTCGCGGCCGCCGCAGCCGCGAGCCGCTGCTCGAACTCGATCGCGCGGCACGCGGCGTCGGCAAGGCTGCTGGCATCCGACGGCGCACTGCCCGACGACGCCGCCGGCGACGACGGCGCGGACACCTCCACGCAAGGCTTCTCCGCCGCGCGCGCCTTCTCATCCAGATACACGGCCCCGCCGCCGACCTTCACGCGTGCGCCTGCTGCCGTCTTCGCGGCAGACCGGGGGTCTGAGATGGATCTCGGCATGTCGGCCTCGGTGTAGGGGACGGCGACGTGCACCCAGGCGGCGTGGGGGGTCTCTGTGTCCCTGAGGGCCTGCCAGATGTTCACGCCGCCCTTCATGCCGCCGCCGGCGCCGACCTGGGTTGGCGTGTGCAGAAACATCACAAGTTAACAACATTGTGAGTGATTGATGCGGAAGACGAGCGGGCGGACGCTGGCAGGCAAAGCAGCGGAGTGCCCAGTGCATCAAGCCCCGACGGCGCCTGCAAGCAGCGCGCTGCCAGACGACAATCCCCCGCCCCCGTTTGCAGCGGCCCCAGTGTGTTCCCCTGGTTTGCGTGGCAGTCCCCCAGGCAACTGCTCGCCCCACGCCCCACAGACCCCTTTTACGCAGCCTCAACAATCAACACAGCCTCAACGGCCCCTGAGCCGTGCAGCGACACGACCGGCTCCCCGCCTTCCCAGCGTGAACATTCAGAAGTTCACGGTGAGAACTTTGAATTCACGGTCCCCGCCCACCTGCATGATGCGCTGGCCCTGCTTGACGAACCCGAAGCGCTCCAGGTAGGCCATGCTGTACCAGGTGGTGCTGCTGCTGGTGTTGCCATAGTCTGCGCGCGCGCGCGCGCGCGTGTGTGTGTGTGTGTGTGTGTGCGTGTGCCTGCGCTTGCGCTTGTGCTGTACCCTGCCTTTCGGGCCATGTCCGCAACTCCTCTCATGCACGCAATGGCGCAGTCGATTGCATGATGCATACATGGACGTAAACGCGCACGCACGCACGCATGTGCACACACATGCAGCCGCCTCCACGCGCACAGGTGCAAGCACTCTGGCTCGCACGCGCGCGGCCACACACACCCGCACCCACAATCGGCTGCTCATCGCCACCCAACGGGTCATGCTGGGCGCCCCGCACCCACCCGCAGACTGCCCCCCCCCCAAAGAAAACACACCCACACCCAGACCCACACACCCACACACCCACACACACAGACACAAACGCAGACAAGCACGCAGAATGCGCTGCTCATTGCCACCCGATCGATCACGCCGAGCGCCCCGCACCCACCCCTCAGGCTTGCGAAGGAGGGCAGCATCATCTCAAGGGGCAGGTTCATGCCCTTCTGGATTCCCTTGAGCACCGCGTATCCGCCCGCGTGCAGCGCAAAGTGCTCGATGCACTTGGTGTAGTCGGGCTGGTACCGCGGCCACTTGAGGCCGAGGACCTTGCGCCCGATGATGTTGGTGGCTGCCTCGGCGTACTGCGGGGGGTGGGTGGGGGTGGGGAGGGGTTAAAGAGGCGCGCGAAAGTCATGTATGTGGGTCTGGAGGGTTGTGCGTGCCGTGCACGTGTGGCTGAGGTGTATTTGCGTGTGTAAAGGTTGAGATGTGCGGTAGGGGGTCGCTGGCAACCGGCGTTGATGGGGCGGGGTGACAAGGGGTGGGGCGCCCTTGATGCAGGCGTATCGCGGCATGGCATGGCACGCGGCGCCCATAAGAGGTGCCCTTTACAGGTGCCGTCAAGCAGCAGGCGCGTCCTTCACGCCGCTGCTGCTGCTGATACTGCTGCTGATACTGCTGCCGCTGCTGCTGCTGCTGTTGACCGAGCGGAGGCCGTCACTTGTGAAGCGACGCCCCCACCAACGAGTCACGGCCCTCCCCATGCCGGCGCCCAAGGCTAACACCAGTCGGCCGCACGAGGATTGCAGTTGACCATATCGAAGGCTTCGCGCCGAGGCTGGTCAAAAGGCGCTGCCTCCGCCCACCTGCTGCCACGTCATGATCTTGGGGGTGGCTGCGGCGATGACGGCCTGCAGCATCTTCCCGGCCTGAATGGGCACATCCTGATGATGAGTCACGCGGGTCAGAGAAAATGAGAGGAGCGGGTTGAGAGAGGTGTTGACGAGTCGAAAATCGTAACCCGCCGCGGCACGGCGCGCGGATGCAGGAGGGAGACGAGCAGGGCAACAAAGCAGGGCGCCAGGGCTTGTGCCCCGCCACGCCAGAACGCGCCCGCCCAGGTGAGGGGTCGGCTGACCGGCCCAAGATCAGGGCTTCCACGAATGCGCTCGCCGCGCGAGCCGGCACCCTCCCCGGGGAAGCACGGTTGTGAAACTTCACCCTTGAGGTGGGCCACACCTTGCCCAGGTAGACCCCATTGATGCCCTCCTCATCCGGCCCCCAGCTGATGCACCTGAAATGTGGAATATATGACATCATACCCTGGTCAGCAACAGCGTGCAGCACCAGCAGCGTCAAAGCCCGCATCGCAGCCCCGCAGCCGGCCGAGCCGTCGGGCCGCCGCACGCTTTGGAGCGACGCCCAGCCGCCCCCGGGGCCAGCTCAAACGCTCCACGAGCGCCGCTCGGGGGCGCTCCGGCGCCGCCCGGACCCCCAGCGTCCGGCGGCGCCCGCTTGCCCGCCGACGCGGTGCTCTCCCCGCACCAGCCCCACGATCTGAACCCTTCTCTGTTATTTCAGAGCCTTGCCAGTTTCGAGGTTGAAGCCCTGCCATCCAAACCCGATCCCTGCGCGGCGCCCCGCCCACCGGTACGCGGCGTCGTCCTGGCCCGTGTGCACGCGCGTGCTGGAGTGCAGCTCGTACTTGCAGCGGCTGTACAGCGACGACTTGTTAGTCATCAGCATGGCCGCGCCGCCAGACCTGCGTGTCACGTTTTTGAACACCACTCCGTGAAACTGCGCCCACAAGCGCATGCTCACAGCACACATCACACAGCGCAACTGTGGTTGCAGTCACCCAACCCCGCGGACGCCTGACGTGACCAGAAGCGTGAGATGACAGCGCAGCGGCCGCTCGCTCGCAGCTCCTGAGGGCGATGCAGCCGCCAACTGCTGCCCTTTGATTGCTTGATGCCGCCCGTCCCGCTGGCCAACTCGGCGCCCGAGGGTTGAGCGATGCCGATGTGAAGCGGGTCCCGGCCGGCGCATCGAAGCATCTACAAATGTTGGTCAAAGAGGCGCTGATTTGACTGGGTCAAACCTCAGTTTGACCGGGCCCCGACTTGCCGCACCTGAAGATCGCGTTGGACACCAGGAAGTCCTTGTTGGTGCCCGGGTAGTAGCAGTACCTGGGCGGTTACGGCGGCGGCGACACCCGGCGGTAACATCAGAGATGACATCAGCGTGTGCGTGGCCCCAGGGCGGCCCGTGCCAGGAACAGGCAGCCGCTGCGGGCCCAAGCATGCACGCAGTGGAGCGTGCGACAGCCGCCCCGCCCTCGAGACTCTAATTCTCCGAACAAGCGGGTGATGAGTTTTGGCATGTCGTTGTGCATCAGCCGTGTCATTTCTAAAACATCTGCTCACGTGGTGACCTCGCAGGGTACCATGAGGGCAATGCTGTTGGGGTGGGCCTGCGGGGACGGGGAGGGGGGGGTTGGGGGTGATGGCAGAGCTTGGGAGTCGGGCATTTCCATTTGCTCATAATGTGACTATCATGTGAGGGGGTGGGGGGTGCAATCAGGGTGGCTGGCGGCCGGATGCGGCACCAGGAGGGCGGCCGGCCCCTGGCATCGCAGCGCATGGCGGCCTGGCGGCTGGGGCTGCGCGGCGGGCTTGGCCATGGCGGCGTGCGGCCTGGCGGGCGTGGCGGCACTGCCCTCCACATGGACAGCTGCCGTGGCCCCGCCCACGGCTGTGCCGGGACAGGGCGCGGCGTCCAGCGACCTCCCACGATGGCGGTGGCTGCGCTGCTGGTGCTGCCGCTCTGGAATCCGCGGCGCCGCCTTGCGCGCCGTCCACAATTCCAGCCGGCGCGCTCCAGCTGCACGCCCGCGCGCCGCACCCTGAGCTCCAGCAGGGGCCCCGCCCTGCCTCCTGCCGCCGCCCCTGCCTGCATCAAATGTTCTTCCTGACAGGTCACCAGTGCCACAGCCCTCCAGCCTCACCAGAAGCGAACACCAAACCTCCCCCCATCGCACCCCCCGTACCGCCCCCACCTCACCCTCACCTTCAGCATGTCCCGCACAAGGCCCACCGCAATCACCCCGATGCTGCAGCCCATGCCTGCCAGATGGTACACCTGATTCGGTACGGCAGGGCGCCATGGGCGGGGGCGCACGTGTGGGTCGAAAACGAGGGAAAAGGATAGATTTGCCCCGTGCAGTGGCGCTACTGGGGGTGCGCTCGGAGCTGGCCGTCTTCGCCTTTCAAGGGTAAAGCGTCCGGCTGCCTGCCACGGCCAACTCAAAATTCAATGACGGGGGCGACACCAAAGCTAGCTGTTCGGCCTGACCACCCCCACCATCCATGCCACGCGCCCGCCGCGTGTCAACATCGTGAGCAATGCATGAGCCGCGCGTGAGTCATGCATGAGTCGTCCGTGAGTCACACTGACCTGGACGTCCTTCCTGAACTTGAACTTGTTGATGAGCATCGACCCCAGGGAAGGTGTGGGGCAGAAGATGGAGCAGTTGGTTATGAGAATGTCCACATCCTGGGGCTTCACACCTGTGGGTGAAACAAAGGGAAGGGAGGGGTTGACCATGGTTTGACTGAGGTTTGCTGGCGGTTAGATGCGATTTACAATGTATTGGGGGTGGCCGGCGTTTGGTGTTGAAGCCATGCGAGGGGACTGACAACGGGGGAATTGTAAGGAAAACGTAGGATGCAAACACAGTGAGAACTTCGGCGGGTGCGTTTGAGGCAGGCGGCCGAGACCAGCATGTCTGGGAACTTGGTTCAGTTTGATATGCAGAACGACAGGGCCGTCCTTGTTGCAGGGGCAGCGTGGGCTGCCTTGGCCCTTGCAAAACCCAGGCCTTCCATCATGCAGATGCGCATCCGCCCCAAAGGCCCCCTCCTTCCCGCGTCCGGCCACGTTCTTGAAAAAGTCTTTTCTGCTGCCAACCAAGCCCCTACACACAAAGATGCTATGTCAATAGTTGCACACGAACGCAGCGATCCCTAAACTTTTGCCAATCCAAAACATAAACTTGCCAACCCTGAGGGCCCAGCCCCAAGCCCCAGCGTGTTTTTGAGCAGCCTGTCCTATACCCACTCACCATCATAATCAAGCCCATGGTTCTCGTAACTCCAAAGCGGGAGCCTCCAAATGCAATGCCCAGCCCCAGCCAGCACTTGCACGCCCGAACCCCGCCGGTCCTCCCAATAGTCCTCCCATCCCCACGTGTGTTCTCTCCCAGCTTTTGTCCCACCTTTTTTTCCCCAGCTCTTCCCTTGCACAGCAACCCTGGGGCCCTGCCAGCGCCCCTCCTGCTTCCACCCCAAACACCCCCCGCCCTACAAACACACACAAGGGCCCTTCTGACAAAAACACAAACCCTATTGCCCCACACACACCGCCCACCCACCCGTCTTCTCCAGCACCTCAGACACCGCGCCGCCCATGACCATTTCCGCCTCCAGCATGGCTGTCTTCATGTCGCTCTTGTAATCTGCAGGTCATGATGACGTATCATGTGTCCGTAATCCTCATTAGCATATTCGTAATCGCGACGACGGGGCGTTGACCGCGCGCGCGGCGCTGCTTACGGGTTTTGGTGTGGGGCGGGCTGAGCCGGGTGCGGCGTGTCTGTGGACTGCACAAGCTCGGACTGCGCTTGCAAACGCTACGCCGGGCTGGCTTCGTTCCTCGGTGGCAGTCCGAAGCGCGCGAGCGCCGCGCTCTTGGCGCCCCTGACCGCCACGCTGCCGCTCAGCACCCCTGTGCTGTTGTTTGCGGCCCTGGCGGCCTCCCACTGGGCGTCCATAATGAGAGTGTGCATGCGCAAAAACCGTGCAGACGGCGGCGGCGTCCCCCGATGGGCCCACCCGTGGTGCATGACGGGTTGACCCAGGGGGGCAGGAAGGTGCCATCCACGTCAAGCCCGCTCTTGGCCACCACCTTGTCCAAAAATTCGGACCGCTCCTGAATAAAATCCTGTGGGGTGCATGGATGGTGCATGGATGACGTTGGATTGCTTGAGGGGTGGTTGTGTGAGTGTCGGGGCATGGAGGGGCAGAGGGGAGCTTTGGCGTGTGTGGAACTCGCGTCTGAGAGGTTTCAGGAGCGGCCGGGCTGGATGTAGCGACGAGCGGCCGCCGGCAGGCGCTGGGGGAGCGCGCCAGGCGGCGGCGGGGCGGCGTGCCGGCGGCTGCCGAGAAGCGGCCGCGGCGGCAGGTGGGGCGAGGGGCGCTGCGGTCGGCGCGCACGCGCGTTGCAAGGCGGCGGCCGCGAGGTGGCGGCGGGCGCGTGTGGACGGGTGAACGACGCTGCGTCTGGGGATGACGCAGGGAGCCTAGCCGATTATTACGCGGGTTTGCAGGGGCTTCCCCCCCGACCTCACAACCGCCCCCAACTGCCTCTGGCCCGCGCCTCCCCGACAGCTGGCCCCAGGCCCAGGAGCGATTCCAGGCGCTGTCGGACTTGGTGCGCAGGGCATGTGAAAATTTCGCGCGCGGCGCCTCGCTGTGCAACGCGGCCCCAGTCCTGTGCGCTCATACTGATGACCGAGCCCATGTCCCGCTGCTGCGCAGCGGGAGCGAGGCGCCCACGCACGCGATGTCCTCGATAGTATCGCGCTATCTGAATTTATGATCCCGCACGGCCATGGGACCCACCCGCCATCCCGGCCCGTTTTTCCACGAGGCTGCCAAGTTCATCCGCCAGCTCTCTGGCGGACGATACACAGAGAAATCGAGCATATAGCATCCTCCCGTCATCTTGACCTGGACAGAGAAGGGAGTACCGGAGGGGGCAGCGACGACAACGGGCGGTGACAGTGTTTGTGCGTTGGTTAAACCAGCAAAGACGGGTGAAAAACTTATGGTGTGGACGAAAACTTCATACCGGCTGTGGTTGACGAGGGTGATGAGCGCCTGCTGACTCGCTCGCACCTGCTCGCTCGTTTGTAGGTCACCGCGGCGGTGACGGCACCTCCTGCAGCCCTGCACACGCCGTAAAAGGTTAATTACATGCTATGTGATCGGATTGGATCAACGGGGGACCCCTGAATGGCCAAAGCTGAATGGAACCCGTGACGCGCTTGCCCGTGAAGGTAATTTTTCTCACCTGGGCACCGCTTATGAACGCTGCTGCAAGGATCAACCGCCCCCAGCGATGATCGGGTCGAGCAGGTCTAACAGGTCTGACGTGCTCGGCGTCGACAGCGCAAGAGTGAGTCGAGCGTTGAGTACCGTACCAGGCAGGAGCGGAGCAAGCGCGGCCTCAAATAGGGTGTGTTGTCGTGAGGACGCATCAAAACGATGGAAGAGCCACCTGGCTGTTGGCGGGCACGCCAAGTTACAGTTGAGGTGACGTGAAACGCACCGACTAGAGCTACCCCTCCTTCCATCTGCACCTGCCGCTTCCTTGAGAGCATCGCGCGATTCACAACACGCTGTCGTCCCAAGCCTCAGCTGCCGCGTGTGTGTTCGCGGCCACCAAACACCATATGGGCCCAAAGCATCCCCGCGTGCCCACCGTCCCCGTGTGCCTGGCCGGTCCCGGCGTGCACGCCCACTGATCCAGGGAAGTCGCAGCCCCGAGCACGCAACCATGCCCGCGACCAGCATCGCCACACACGGCCTCTTTACACGTCGCCGGTGCAGCCGCCCGCGCCAGCGTCATGCTCCTCAGCCCCAGCCGGCACCCCCGCGTCCGCGCCGTGTGCCTCCCCGTTCACGCCTTGGCTCCAGCGGCTGGCCTGGCGCCCTTGGTTGCCATGCAGCATAGGGGGGTGCCACACCATTGTGTGTCCCAGGAGGTTTTTCAGGTACTTGCTCTGCGATGATAGCAATGCGTTGCGGGGCGCGGGGCGGACGGCAGTTGACGGGTGCACGCCCTACGCGTGTGGGCAGGCCCCACCAGCAAGCAAGTGGTATAGGACCCGTCACCAAAAAAACAACACTGGGAGGTGTCGATTTGTTTTGGCGGCCGTGCTAGCTGAGGTGTGCGCAAGCCGGCGCGACGTGTGGTTGGCGCCTCGGCTTGGCAGGGCAGCGCCTTTCCCGGAGCGCCGCGGCGCGAACCAACTGCCGCCTCGCGCCACGCAAGCCCCCGCTACTTGCGAGGGTCCCCGCGGCGCGCCTTTGGCGGCCGCGCTCACCTTGACCACAATGTTCGCCCCCAGGAACTGCCTGTGGTTTGCAATTGGGATGTGGAGGACAAACCAGTCACGACCGCAGCGCATTCGCAGCGGCAACGCTCAGGATTCACAGGACCAGGCGGCGCAAGGGCAGCCGGCTGCTTGGCGCTCGTGGCGCCTGCGCGCTCAGCCGCCTGCTCCTCCCTCGCACGAACAGCAACCGTATGCACGCAAACATGCAAGCGGCCCCGCACTCAAAACAGTGGCATGGCCCCGGCACGCCAAGCACCCGCATGCACCCACACCCAATCCTCATGCATGCATGGACGATGCCGCCCATGCATGCCGCATGCAGCATGCACCATGCAGCATGCGTCCCATGCGCAGCCCTCACCGCGTGTACAGGCCAACCAGCGCCATGACTGTGTGCAGCTCAGCAATGCCGCCCACGTCGACGAACACCTTCGTAAACAGCGGGCGCCGCCAGTCCTGGCTGTGGCCCTTCTGGCGGCCCCGCTGCTGCTGCTGTTGCTGCTGCTGCTGCTGCTGCCGTTGCTGCTGCTGCTGCTGCTGCTGCTGCTGCTGCTGCGGCACGTTTCCACCTTCCTCCTCACGCCGTTCTTCCTGGTCCCCTTCCTGCTGCGCGCTGCTGCTGACCGGCCCAGGCCCCCCCGCGGCCGGCCCGTCCCGGCCCCGCCCGCTGTCTTGGGTTTCGCTGCTGCCGCCTGACCGCGGGCTCAGGCTTCTCAGCAGCTTCAGATTGAACCCGTCTGCTGCCTCGAATCGCACGTCAGGAAAGCGCCGCCGCGCCTCTGCCACGTTGTCCTCGCTCTTATCGACTCCAACCACAAAGGCCGCCCGCTGGTGCAGCGCGTGGGTGGTAAGGCCTGGTGTGGTGGCGTCGGGGCGCGCGGTTGTCTGGGGCATGCGGGGCGGGGGCAGGCGTATCGGTCCGGGGGGCTGCGCATGCTGTTTCAGGGGCCGGCGCTGTGGCGTTCATGATTGGTTGCCTCAAGGCGGCGCACGTGCGAAATTGTTGCTGCATTGCTGGATGTGTGTGTATAAGTGTGAATATGTTGGTTTGTGTGAGTGTATGTGTATGTGTGAGTGTGAGTGTGA